ATAAGTACTTCTCCTTGACCAGCCATCTGATATCCGGTTGCAGTCTTGTCAAAGTAATTCACCAGAAATCGATATGTTCTCGGGAGTTTTCCGGAGGGGTGCTTTAAATACATCTTGTGGATCTCTCCGATGACATCACGACCGTCGTATCCAGTGAATTCACAATGATACAGCTCTCTCGCCATTTGCAAAGATCGCAAGAGTTGAGTTGCGTAAGAGGCATCATCAGACATTAAGCTACCATCAGAAACCACGATTTTTTTCAGTCGACGCTTGAAYAGCGTCAAAAGTCCYTACTTCTCGAGCCGACCAAGGTCGCTGAGGGACATAACAGCAGGAGGAAGTGGGCCGACGTTGCTAATCTTAAGGAATTCTCTAAGGAAACGTACGTGGTATAAATGTACGTGACACCATCTAGAAAAAAAAATTGATATAAGACTACTGCTTTATGACTTCAAAGAGTTTTTTACTTTCAGTACCTGACAATAGACTCCCCAAACCATGGCTTACTTGKTCCAGTAGGCATCATAGCGACGGCAGCGAAGACAACAACATAACAGATGAACACAATCATGACAACACTCTCAACTAATAATGGGTCCAAATTGATATCGGCGAGGCATAAGACTGCTAGGAGTACAATAGGTGCACCAGCAAAGCTTTGGAGAATTATTGGAGCAAACTAGAAAACAAAACARATTAAGATCAAAAAGATATCAAGTTAAGTCCTAAGAGATATTGGCGTATGAATCATTTTCATGAATGTGCCAAGCATTTCTTTTGGAACTGGTATCAGAATTATAATCTCGATGCTACAAATTTCGCCACAGATATTGATTCATTGTAGGGTACTCAACTTTCCGATATTGAGCAACTAGCTTGGGAAATGCGCAAAAAATCTCCAAAAAGAAATCCAGTTTCTAGTTAATTGGGTACCCATACCTTACTAACAACGCCGTCGTCTCTCCTCTGAGGATAAGCTGTGGCATCATTTGTTGCGGAAAGCCCAAGAATGAGTTGCAGCTCACGGAATGGTTCATACTTGTCCTCCATTTCAGCTGTTGGTTTGGTTACCATAGCGGCTGTGCTCATAGCATCAGCAAGCTTAACATGTCGTGGACTTAAGGAAGAATTTAATTTATCAGAACCAGGGTCCTCGGTAATAATCTCGATCTTCTTGCTGCAAAGACCAATCATTGTGTCTGGCAATGTCTTTTGATTGCGACGCCAATGAGCTGCAACAATGTTACTAATGTACTGTGGCTTCATGTCCGCAATGTCGGCCATTGTCAACGCCCTGTTTTTGCTGCAACATTTAGAGCAATCGCATATGGTGGATAAAACTGGAAAGAAGTCCGAACACGTGATTCCACCACAGCCGACTGGACCCACGCTCTCCTCTGTGAAAAACGCATATTGGAATCTCCACCTGTAAAGAGATATTACATCACTTTAAAATCAAAAATATGTTCGAGCAGCCCCATGGTCAGACTGCTGGTTTACGTGTGTCTAGGTGCAGGGGCTGTGTACCATCTCATTTTATATACTTTTCTTCATATGTGCATCCATTGGACAAACCTTTTCGAATTTAACCCCTCCTTGGCACCCTTTACCGATATCTGATAAAAGCCCGAGTCCGTCCGAGTTCAATTTTTAGATATAGACGTGCTTGTCTAATGTCACTGAGAGAAGATTAGTAAATTTAAACTATTTTCTTTTTCTTAAAACGTACTTGATAAATGTATAAATAGCAGATCTACCGAATGCACCCAGGTATGGACTTGCCCATAAAACTCCTCCTGCTGCTAATAAAGCTGTATAGAAATACTCTTCCTTGTAATCCACGAGTATGGAACGAGAACGATAAACACGCCACTTGATGATGAATGCAAAAACATAGAAAACAACAGCAATGGATGCAAAATCACGAAGGGGTGGAAACCCAATCCAAAAGAACAAACTGAGGACGAGGATTAACATGCTGAGCCACGTAGGAATACTGTCAAAGAACTGTTGCAAGAACCAAGGGAGGAAAACCATTCCGAACAAAGTGCCTGATAGTATCTGTAAGAAAGCAATAACTTGCGCATATTTCTTGAAGATGCTTCTAAGAACAAACAGGAACAAGAACGATAGAAGGAGCGTAACG